AAGGTTTTTGCATATATTCATAAGGATGTTGGTGTGTAGTTTTCTTGTGATGTGTCTGTCTGGTGTTGGTATCAGGGTAATGCTGGCCTCCTAGACTGCGTTGGGAAGTGTTCCCTCTTCTATTTTTTGGAAGAGTTTATGAATGTCTGGTATTAATTCCTTTTTAAACATTTGGTAAAATTCACCAGTGAAGCCATCTAGGCCTGGGCTTTTCTTTATGTGAAGTTTTAAAATTATTAATTAAACCCCTTTATTGTTATATGTGTATTTCAGATTTTCTGTTTCTTGAGTCGGTTTCAGTAGTTTGTGTCTTTCTAGGAATATAACCATTTCATCCAGCTTATCTAATTTGTTGGCATATAATTGTTCATAGTATTCCCTTATAATACTTATACTTTAGTGGTGGCTTCTCTTTCATTTTTGAATTTAGTAATTTGAGTCTTCTCTTTTTCTCCTGGGTCAACCTGGCTAAAGGTTTGTCAGATTCGTTGATCTTTCAAAGAACCAATTTTATTGCCTTGATTTTTCTTGATTTCACTTATTTCTGTTGTAATCTTTATTTTGGTTGTTCTGCTTGCTTTGGGTTTAGCTTTCTCTTCTAGTTTTTTTAAGTTGGAGGGCTTATTGTTCTCAGATCTTTTTCAATATGGGGAACTTTACAGCTATAAATTTCCCATGAAGCACTGTGTTTATTCTCTCCCATAAGCTTTGCATGTTCCATTTTTGTTTTCATTCTTCTCAAGGTATTTTCTAGTTTCTCTAACAGTTTCTTTGATCTGTTGGTTATTTAGGAGTATAGTGTTCAATTTCCACACACTTGTGAATTTCCCAAATTTACTTCTGTTAGTGATTTCTGTTTCCATTCTGTTGTAGTCAGAGAAGATAATTAGAATGATTTCAGCCCTTTAAAATTTATAGAGATTTGTTTGGGGCCCTAGCATGTGGCCTGCCCTGGAGAATGTCCCACTGCGCTTGAGAAGAAGCTGCACTCTGTCGTTGGGTAGAGCGTTCTATGGATGTTCTTATGTCTGCCTGGTTTGTGGGGTTGTGCAGTTCTTAGAATTCCTTGTTGATATTCTTCTGCTTAGTTATTCTACTCATTGAAAGTGGAGTGTTGAAGTCGCAGATATTATTGTTGAACTGTCCATGTTTTCGGTCACATGTATCAGTTTTTGATTCATGCACTTTGGGGCTCGGTTGTTAACTGCCTATGTTAAGTTTATAATTGTTACATCTTCATGTTGGATTGACTCTCATTATAAAAATATCCTTGTCCCTAGTAACAAATTTTGTCTTAAAGTTCATTTTATACGGCATTAGTGTACAAATTCTACCTCCCTTTTGGGTATTGTTTGTATGGTATATCTTTTTTCATCCTTTTACTTTCAACCTATTTGTGTGTTTGAATCTACAGTATGTCTCTTATAGATGGCATAAGTTACGTCATGTTTGTTTATTTTGCCAATCTGTCTTTTGATTGGAACAGTTAGTCAATTTACCTTTACTGTAGTTACTGATAAGGGAGCATTTACGTCTGCCATTCGCTGTTTGTTTTCTGTATGTCTTATGTCTTTTTAGTTCTTCTTTTCCTGCGTTACTGCCTTCTTTTATGAAGATATTTTTCTAGCCTACCATTTTAATTCCCTTATTGTTTCTTTTACCATATTTTAAAAAGTTATTGTATTTTCTTAATGGTTGCCCTTGGGATTATAATTAACATCGTAAAAAGTTTTACTTTGGATTAATACCAACTTACAATTTCAAGAGTATACCAAAACTGCTCCAATATAACTTTGTTCCCTCTTTCTTCTTTGTACAACTATTTCATACACGTTATGTTTTTATACACTGTATGCCTACCAACACAGTTTTATGCTTCAGGCAGTTGTCTGTATAATCAGACACAAGAAAAGAGTTCCAAGCAAAAATACATTTATACTGTCTTTTGTATTTACCTATGGAGTGATATCTTCTGGTGTATTTTGTTTCCTCATGTGGATTGAGTTGCTGTCTGTGTCCTTTCATTTCAGCCTAAAGGATTCCCTTTAGTATTTCCTGCAGGTCAGGTCTACTAGTGATGAATTATTTTTTGTTTATCTGGGAATAACTTCATTTCTCTTTTATTTTTGAAGGATAGTTTTGCCGGATATACAGTTATTGGTTGACAGTCTCTTCTTTGGGCAATTTGAATATGCCACCCCTTGATTTCTGATAAGTACAGAATCCCTTGTGTACAATGGGTCTTTTTTCTCTGATGCTTTCAAGATTCTCTTTGTCTTTGGCTTTCAGCAGCTTGACTATGATGTGTCTAGGTATGGCTCTCTTCGAGTGTATCCTTCGTGGAGTTTGTTGAATTTTTTTGATGTGTAGATTAATATTTTTCATCAAATGTGGAAACTTTTCGATCGTTATTTCTTTAGATAGTCTTTCTACTTCTTTCTTTATCTCTCCCCTTCCCCTCTGGAACTCTGATAATATTTATGTTGGTCCGCATAGATGGTGCCCCTCAGGTCTCTGAGGCTTGGTAATTTACTTTGTTTTTTGGTTTGTTTGTTTATTTGTGTATTTTTTCCTTTCTCAGACTGCATAATCTTAATTGACCTTAAGTTTTCTGATTCTTCTGCTAGCTCAAGTCTGTTTTTATGCCCCACTAGTGAAGTTTTTATTCCAGTTATTGTGTCTTTCGACTCTAAAATTTCTATTTGGTTCTTTAAAAATAATTTATATCTATCAATATTTTCTGCTTGGTGAGACATTGTGCTCATACCTTCCTCTACTCTTTAGACATGCTTTCCTTTAGTGTTTTGGACATACATAATGGCTGATTTAAAGTCTTTGTTTAGTAATTTTATGACATGTGGGCTTCCCCAGGGACAGTTTCTAGTGACTGCTTTTTTTTTTTTCCTGTACATTGATCATACTTTCCTGTTTCTTTGTGTCTCATAATTTTTTGTTGACAACTTGCTTTTTAAAATAATGCGGCACACTGGAAATCAGATCCTGCCCCCTCTGCAGGGTTCGTTAGCATGTTATTTTTGTTACTGATACTGTTTAGTGACTTTTTGGGACCAATTCTCTGGTTTGTGTTCTCTGTGCTATACGACCGCTCAAACCTCTGCTTAGTCAGCGTAGTGGTTGGCTGGCGTTCGGACAGAGACTTCCTTAAACACCTTGAGCCAGTGCATTTCCCTGCCTCTGTGGAGGCTCGCTCTGCATGCTGGGGCCTGCCTTCCGTGTGCCAGGGGCTCACAGTCCTGCTTTGGCCTTTGCTTCCTGCTTGTGTAGAGCCTCAGGGTTTAGAAGAGCTGAGAGATCAGGGCCTTCTCAGGTCCTTCCTGGGCGCGCACGCATTTCTATTCATGCTCCTGGCATTTCTTGATTCTCAGAAATATCTCGGAGCCTTTCAAAGCCTGCTCTGGACTCTCTGTTCCCCAGATTTTCCTCTAAGTCTTCTGGTCATTCTCTTTTTAGCCCCAGTCGGTCATGCCGCCTTAGGCAGCTGCCATGTTCAGCAGTTGTCCCTTACTGTTTTTGACAAATGCCCCGGACATAGGACAGGGTGTAGTCTGAGTCAGTTCACATAAAGACAGGCCTTCAGAAGCTGCCAGACAGGTCAAATGGTGACAGTTCTCTGGGGCTGGCACTTCTGGGGCACAGTAAACCTTTCCGTCCCCTCCGATGGCTGTGAGGCTCCTGGTTTTCACAGCTACTGTAGCTGCAAGGTTGCTGGCGTTCAAGGCTCCCTTGGAGCTGAAGGGGGAGGATGGAGTTAGCGAAAGTTAAACCAGAACAGAAGTTACACTTACCACGATTCAGGCTTTTTTCTTAAATAAATGCTCCTCAGAATGTTGCAAGCTTTTAGTTCATTTCCAGAGTTCTGAAAAAGTTGATTTTTGACAATTTTTGGCAGCATTTTTGTTGCTTTTATGGAGGAGCAGATTTTCGGAGATCTTCACTCTGCAACTCCAAAAGTTAGCTCCCTATCAGCTCTTCATTAAGTGAGGCATCCTTGTGCAGGGAGCGTCTGCCGTGCACATGCTGTGTGCTCTCTTAATTTTGTCTCGTGTTGATTCTTCTTGTCTGTGTATTTGATGTCTTGAAATGGCCCCAACGGAGTGTTAAGGAGCACAGGTTACTGAAACCACTGGTCACAACTCTTGTTTTATTAGAAGTGAGTTGGATGCGATGCAAGCAGAATGCGTCGCAGACTCAAGATCACGCCGATCTGCCAGGTCCGTTTCTCACCTGCCAGTGGAGCTCATCTTTTGCAGGCTGCCCCACTTCGTACATTATCCGGCGATGAAGTAAATTCATTGTTCCCCTCAGTTAGGCTTGGAAGACAAAGCACTAATAGCTAAAACTGCCATTTCCTCTGGATACTGCTGGGATTTGAAATTCAGTCCAGGCATAACATTAATTTCTCTATATCAGATCTTACAGTGCTGGTTAACAGCTTGAGTTTCTGTTAAATATTTTTTAAGGTACACACTTAAAATCTAAGTTTTCACACATAATATAAATCTGAAGTCCTCACACAGCAGAAGTTTTGAGTCATGGATATTTATTTTATTATTGCTTTTATTTCAGAGGCCACTGGTTTCCAACTCTGTAAGATGGAAATACAAGTGCCTATTGGTAAAAAGTGAAGTGGCTCTGTTCTGACAAGCTGTGTACGATTGTATCTGTTAACATGTCATAGTGTGCATTTTTTTTCCTTTTCTCTATTTGCGTATTTTTCTCTTTCGTTATATAATACTTTAACCAAGTAGTCTAAAATGTGGTATCAGATGATAATACAACAATTTTGAAATCTTGAAAGAGAAAACTGGAAACATTTGCTTGTTGTTTTTTTTTTTTCTTCACCTCGGAGTGTTTTGTTAATGAGACATTTTATACTGCCATAAACCCAGGGCAATAATAAAGGTGTTGATTGATTTTTGGATGACAAGGGGCTTCTCTAATTGCAGGATTTGACACTTGTGTCACTTCTGCTGTTGTAGGTGAGCAAGACGTGGAAGGTGATTGCCGAAGATGAAGTGCTGTGGTACAGGCTCTGCCAGCAGGAAGGGCACCTTCCAGAGAGCAGCATCTCGGATTATTCTTGCTGGAAGCTCATCTTTCAGGAGTGCCGCGCCAGGGAACACATGTTAAGAACCAACTGGAAGGTAGGCCGTGGCCAATATCATTACCTGTAGGAGGATAGCCGAGAAGGACCCGGGAATCCACGCCTGGGACTCATCGCCGAGTCCCTCTAATTACAGCCCACGGGTAACTGCCAGAAGCAGAGAGAGAGGGGGGGATGGCGCGCGCACCCTCAGCTGTCGGTGACTTGTCGCCCATTTTGTTTGCCGTTAGAGCCTCGGCCCCCATTTCCAGCCCCGCTCTTCGGGAGCCGCCTGTTGTTCCCCGGGCGGGCGTGGAAGGAGCGTTAGAGATGCCGGCCACCTGCCCTCTGAGGAGCAGGGCTCCGATGCAGGGCTCCTTGCAGCCCCTCCCGCTTTCTCCGGCTCCCTGGGCGGACCAGGAAAGCAGACGCACCACCTGCATACCAAACAGGAGCTATTTCCAGTAAATGTTAAGTGGGAGATTATTAAATGTCTCTAAGTACTGTCTTCTCTTCCCTCCCATAACCTATTGGCTTGCTTCCATCACATTTATCACTTCAGAATCTCTACAGAAATATTAGATCACAGCTAAGAATTTTCACAGCGCAGTGTTTCTGTAGGAAGTAAGTGTCAAGAGCAGTGTTACATAAAGCTGCTGGAGGCAGGACGAGACAGCCGCGTGGCGGCCGTGCTTCTTCCCGCCCGAGCGCCCGGGCGTGCAGCCGTGTGCAGGGGTAGGGCCGTACTCTTTCCCCTCCCTTAAAGGTCAGTCCTAATGCACTTTGAGATTAACAGGCTTTTGCTCATTGCTGATGGTGACATATGGCCTGTGTGCCTGTCTGTCCCCAGTCACCTCATAACCTGATTAGTGACCGATACTCTTGATCCGGGCAACCTCACAGTTTCTAGCAAAGGTAGTGAGAGCAGGGGTCCTCTGATTCAGGGCTTCTCAACGCTCGTGCCAGTGACGTCAGGGCCAGACAGCTCCCTGTGGCGAGGGCTGCCCCCCGCGCTGTGTGGCATGCTGACCGGCCTCCGTCGTCTCTGCCTAGGACATGCCAGCAGCACTTTCTTTCTCTCCCAGCTGTGACAACCAAAGACATCTTCAGACATCTTCAGGGGTCCCCTGGGGACAAGATCGCTCCTGGTTGAGAACTGCCTTTACTAAGGAGAATGAGCAGAGCGATCCTTTCCTCCGCCATTAAGACATCACCACTAAGTATCAATAAAAGTCACGCTGCCCACAGTTCGCATCCTCACCCGGTAACAAATGCGGGTGGAGGGACCTGCAGCCCTCTTGCCTGTGTGCTTGAGTGGGGTCTGTGTGAGGGACATCGGTGAGAGCCAGGCCTGAGGGCTTGACGAAGCTGCTTAGATGGGGGCGGGGTGGGCAGAAAGCGAGGGTCTAATGCTGGCAGGAACGGCCGCAGTGTAAGCTGAGCTTGAGAGTTGGGCATTACTCAGGGCCCTTCTGTCGGGAAAGAAGGGGCACTCTTGAGACCTGTGAGCATGAGAGCTCCAGGCAGTCCGCGTGCCCTGGCTCCAGGTCAGGGACGTCAGACCCTGCAAGGGAGCGCAGTGGCTACACGTTTGCTTCCTCTTTGGTGTGAGAGGAAGCGAGGGCAGGAGCAGGGGCATCTTCCTCCTCTGGGCCGGGGATGGCAGAAGTGCAGGGGTTTAAAGAGCCGCCGCATAGCATCGGGCACTTATGAACAGTATACAAGTTACGCGCAGTTTAACTGAACGTCTGCTTATTGTTTTTCTCTGACAAGCACAAAGCCCCATGTTTGGTTAGTGCTCAATAAGGGGTTGTTGACTGAATGAACTGGGGTCAAGCTGCAGGCAGAATGTGAGAGGGGCTTCTCTTTGGAGTATCCTGGACCTATTTTTCTGACAATGTTGTAAAGGAGGACTACATAAATGAAGTATTCAGTAACAGATAGTGCATTAGCTGGAATCATGGCATTCTCGTTGTGATTCTAGAATGAGAGTCCTCCGAAAACAGGACAGGTAGGGAAAGCTGCTTGGCTTTATGTGCCTTTGCTCGCTTCTGCAGTGGGGCTCAGAGGCACCCTGCCCACAGGGTTGTGGGGAGGATGGCTAACAATCCGCCTGCAGAGTCTGGCCCTGGGATCAGCTAGCATTGCCTGGAGAGGCTCCCGGGCCTTTGCACGCAGACACCGTGGTTTGGTGCTGTTCGTGGTCGACCTCGGGATGGGTTGGGCAGGTAATCTGGTTTGCTATCTCCCAGGTCAGTGTCTAGGAAACCCAAGAAGGGACCCCGGGGCTCTCAGGTATTTATGCCCAGGAGCTGAGCTGTAAATGCATGAACTTCCATGGTCCTGCAGCACAGAGCCAGCATGGAAGTGATTGGATAAGCTGGCGGGGTGGCTGTAGTGTTCCTTCTCCTGGTGCCTGCTCTAACTCTCTTCTCTCTGGCCTCCTAGGATTTCTCCAAGGCCAGAACACCAGTGCGGGGCTGCAGCGCGGGGGCGGGGGCGGGGGCGGGGGCGGGGGCGGGGCCAGCAAGCCACCTGGCCGGAATCAATGAGCGCCGCGAGCGTGCAGGGCTTGCTTTCAGGCCCTCTCTTTTTCTGTCAATACCTTGTCCCTCAAAAAAGCTCTGCTATTCTTGTGATTTTTGGCTGTGGCCCTCACACAGATGACTCCCAAGTCCTTCCCCTCCATCCCCTTGTGTCCACTAGCAGGTCAGCTCCCCTTGGATGCCCCTCGGCCTTCGACGTGGCCTTTAAGTGAGACCATCACGCAGGTTGTCTTACAGAGTGCCTAGAATATAGCTACTCAGGTGTTGTTTTTAATGGGCTGGCTGTCATCAACTGTCTCCTAATAACACAGGAGTAAGAGTGGCTGCCGCTTACCGGACACTTGCTGTATGTTAACCGCTGCGCTCGGCCCTCGCACATGCAGTTTCTGACCCCGGGCCCGGTGTGGCCCAGCCGACGCGGCGGCTGGCGGGGAGCTCCGGTGCGCCTTGACTCGCGCCTGCTTTTGGCCTTGCTGTCCCGCTCCTCCTAGCACCTCATTTGTAAACACTTTGTACTCCTCAGATCCCCTTTGTTTTTATTTTAAAAGTTATTATTTTATGTGTATATTTGGATTGATCAAATTGCCATGGTACAAATAATCCAGAAGTCAGAAAAGGGCACGCAGTGGAAGAACATCTTTTTCTCACCTCTCTTCCCCGACCACTGGTCCCCGCTCTGGAGCAGCCAGTGGCCTGGGTTATAGGGTTCCCTTTAAATACTGCTTTCGTGAACCTCTGACCTCTCAGTCAGGATCAATGTCTTCTCTTCCTTTTCCCATCCTGATTTTTTTCTCTCTGTGTGTACCTGTTCATTTTATTCTGTGGGTTTTTAACAGGTAAAAATATCGTTAAATACTTTCTCCTCTCTGAACTGAACTTTTTAATACACTCCATACATTTCTTCAGATACTTGCGACATCTGTGGATTGTAGTTACTTGCGCTGACAGGTGGACCCCCTGTCCCCTTAGGGACAGGGGCTGCATCTCACACACCTGGGCCCTCTAGGTCAGTGCTTGGGGGGTGGGGGTGGGGTGTGTGTGTGTGTGTGTGTGTGTGTGTACACGTAAATGCTAATAGGCTCACCTATTAGTTGCCATCTTTGCCCTTTTGACTGTCTGGACACCTATGAACACAGTACCTGCCGTAAATTACTGTGGAGTGTCGGTGAAACTGGCATGCGTTGTCTCTGGCTGTGCCCCAGAATAACATGAACTGCACCCCCTTTTCCTTACACAGAACCGCAAGGGTGCCGTGAGTGAGCTGGAGCATGTTCCTGACGCAGTTTTATGTGACGTGCACTCTCACGATGGCGTTGTCATTGCTGGGTAAGCTAAAACAATCTTTCACTTAATGCTCTTTATCCGAAGTTCTTTTTGTTTTTCACGTGCCACTTTCTGAGTCCCAGGGACATGTCTTTCCTTGAGAGCACGTCCTTGCTTATAGGGGGCCCGTGTGTGAGAGGACTCTGTCCTCCAGCGCTCGAGGACGCTGCATTCGGTGGTGAGAAGTGAATGGCGCAGAGCAGATCTGTAATCCATTTGTCTCACGAGGTCTTTCCTGGCTTTAAAATCACTCTTGTGGCATGTTATGTTAGATTTTCATTAAGGCAAACAGTTTGTATTTTATGAAGACATAAAAAAGTCAAGCAAGAATAATAAGTGTTGGCACAAAGAGGTCCTGTTCTTATTCTCTTGTTCCGAAGCTTTTATTGTTGAGGAAGGACTGTGGCCACACACAGTCTTCCTTCCCCGCCACACAGTACATATTTGCTATTTAACTTGACCTGAAATAGGCTTTTTATTTGTCTCCATGGCCAAGAAATTTAATTTAGCTTCTGTAGATTCCTTTGGCTTCTGTTCTAAAAACCACTTTCATGAATTCTTCATATTTTACTACAGAGATGTGTTTATGTATTTCCATAATGTGTAATAAGATGATCAGTTGTTTTCCGTTTTTTGGGTTTTTTTTTTGTTTGGATGAAGATGTCTTGGACTAGATCCTCAAATTGCATCATTAATGCTATAGGACCCTTGAATCTATAGGACACTTGAGCCCACCAGAGACTTGACTGGCATTGGAGTGAGCCACCCAAGGGGGGTTACTACCTGGAAGAAAACAAAACAAACTTTAGGCTGAACAACTTAGTAGTGGGCAAGTTTTTCTGTAAGGGAAAAAAAGAATCTTCCGTTAAGAAAAATTCCTTAAAGAGCACCACTTGAATTGAAATTGCAGTGAGATTATTTGAATATTTTCTGGCATTCAGTGCTTGTGAAAAAGTCTTTTTTGCTTTAAACAAGATATGCTCAGGAGGGAACATGTTTTGTTTTGTTTTTTAGTTTTATTGTTTTATTTTATTTTTGTAAGTGCAGTGAAAAAAATTTTTTTTATTTTTAAATCGTGTTTATTCTAATTACAGTTGTCTCAATTTTCCCCCCTTGCTCTCCCCACCCACCCCACCCCTCCCCCTCTCCCATAGTCAATTCCCACTCCGTTGTTGTCCATGTACATAGGTCATTCATACAAGTTCTTTGTTTAATTCCTTCTCCTTCTTCCTACCATTGTCCTCCTTCCCCTTCCCCTCTGGTCACTTTCAGTCTGCTCTATGTTTCCTTGCCTGTGGTTTATTTTCTTGATTAGTTTATTTTGTTGAATAGATTCCACTTATATGTTAGATCATATGGGATTAGTCTTTCACTGACTGGCTTATTTCACTTAGCATAATACTCTCCAGTTCCATCCATGTTGTCGCAAAAGGTAGGAGTTCCTTCTTCTTCTTCTTTTTTTTAAAATGCAGATTGATTTTATTTTTTTATTTATTTTAAATGGCAAGATCCATTATAAAATATTAAAAAATTTAAATCCATTATAAAGTCTCAGCAATTAAAACAACATGACACCAGCACAGAAATAATCAAGTAGATCAATGAAATAAAATGAGCATTGTAGAAACAAACGTATATATCTAACAATGTAATATATGATTAAATTGATATTTCAAATCAATGGGGAAAATAAGGCTTATTCAATACATAAGGTGCATGGACAACTATTACTTGAAATAAAGCAAATACAGAGCCCTATTTCACCCATTATACAAAAAATATTCAGGTGAGTTAAAAATCAATAAGTAAAATCTAAGGAGTTTTAGGAGAAAATACAAAATAATATTTTTCCTACCCTGAAGTAACATATTCAAACCCAGAAGGCATAAAGTAAGATATTGAAAATATGGCCATATTAAACACTTAAGATTATATAGTAGTATATGTATAGAAAAAGTTAAAGGACAAGTAATAGAATAGGAAAGTATTTGCAACACATCTAAAAAAGGGTTAATAATGTTTTGTTTGTTTTTTTTAGGGAAAAAAGTCTACAAACATTTAATCAAAAAATGGATAAAGAATACCAAAAAATCATTTAAAGCTTTTTAAGAATAATAGAAATAGGCAAGAAATATACAGAAACAGGTTTAGTTTCAACAAATAATAAAGTAACAATTAAAATAACACATCATTGTCACAATCAGATTAATAAGTATTAAAATATTGGTAATACCAAGTATTGGTGACAGTGAAAGGAACTGGGTGTTCCTAGACTCTTTTTCTTCATTTTCTTAAAGCAGTCCCTTTAGCATGTCTTGCAATGCTGGTCTGGTGGAGATGTATTCTTTTAGCCTTCTTTTGTCTGGGAAACTCCATATTTCGCCTTCCATTTTAATTGAAAGCCTTGCTGGGTAGAGCAGTCTTGGTTGCAGACCTTTGCTTTTCATGACTTGGAATATTTCTTGCCATTCCCTCCTGGCTTGTAGTGTTTCTGTTGAGAAGTCAGCTGCTAGCCCTATGGGGGCTCCCTTCTATGTTACTACCTCTTTGTCCCTCGCTGCCTTTAGGATTCTTTGTTTGTCTTTGCTATCTGCCATTTTAATGATGATGTGTCTTGGGGTGGGCCTCATGGGGTTCCTCTTGAATGGGACCCTCTGTGCTTCCCGGACTTGGGTGATTTTTCCTCTCCTCCAATGAGGGAAGTTTTCCATCATTACTTTTTCAAACCGGTTCTCTATCCCTTCCTCCTGTTCTCCTTCTGGTATCCCTATTATATGGATATTATTACGTTTCAGGTTGTCCTGCATTTCCCTCAATGCCTCTTCATTCTTTTTGAGTCTCTTTTCATTTTCTTGCTCTTTCTGGGAGCTTTTTTTGTACCTTATCCTCCAGCTTGCTGATTCAATCCTCTGTTTCATCTAGCCTGCTTTTGATTCCTTCTACTGTGTTCCTTCATTCAGAAATTGTATTCTTCATTTCCTCTTGTCTCTTGTTGATAGTTTCTATGTCCTTTTTCACGCTGATATAGTTTGTAGTAAGTTCCTTGTAGTTTCCCTGTAGTTTTTTGTAATTCTCTCTGAGCTCACTGAGCTTCATTAGAACTATTGTTTTTAACTCAGTATCTGATAGTTTACTTACCTCTATTTCATTTAATTCTCTTTCTGGGGATTCCCCCTTTCCTTTTGTCTGGGGGGCGGGGTGTTTCTTTGTCTTCCCATTATTTGTGAGACTTCTTTTTGGCTTCTGTTTCTTAAATTGATCTGTTTTGATTTCCTGACTTTGTGGTGTGAATGCCTATGGTAGGAGACCGCTGTTTTTTCTTTCTGGATCTGTCTCTGACGATATCAAATGTTGACCCCGTCTGCCCTTAGGCAGTCTGTTTGAGACTTCCAGGAATCTACTGTCTGTGGCTGTCTTCTTCAGCTGTTAATCTGGTCACTCTGCACTAAACAGGCCATCTTAGAGACACCACAGGGCGGGGCAGAGTCCCTCCTGCGGGCGGGGTTATTGGGTCCTTTTTGTTGCTGCTCAGGGGCGTGGTCTGCCTGAGCCAGAGGGCTGCTGTCGCGTGGAGGAGGAGTCAGCACCGGGATCCCGCCAGCTACTCTCTCCGTTCTCTCCCCAAAGCGTTCCTCTCCAGTCTTTCCTCGAGTCTCTAGACCACTCTGGGCCCCCTTTAGCCAGGGATCTACTATCTGGGGCTGCTGCTCTGTACTCAGCAGGGCTGAGTCCCTCCTGGGGACAGGGGTATTGTGTCCTCTCTGTTACCACTTGGGAGTGGTCTGCCTGAGCAAGATGGCTGCTGCCGCATGGCGAATGAGTCAGCTCTGGGATCCCGCCAGCTACTCTCTCAGTTCTCTCCCCAAAGCCTCCTTCCCCAGTCTCTCCTCAAGCGTCTCTAGCCCACTCTACCCCCGCCTTTTCCGAAGTCCAGGGTAAGTGGCTGCAAATAAAAATTTATGTGTTGGTCCTTTAAACAGCTCTTTGCGTCTCCAGCCACCTGTCTTTGGCAGAGAGCAACCCTGCCACTTTTCGCAGCTGGCTGTTAATCTGTGTACTTTTTGGGCTCTGGTGCTGTAGGCTGGAGATCCCCGCTTATGGTTTAGGCCCCACTCTTCTCAGGGGGATCCAACTGGACATTTCAATATCCTTCTGGTGCTGCCACCCGTGGGCCCTCCGCCTGCCTTCTCGAGTCTCTACTGCCCTCGTTACCAGTTAGGTTGTGCTAAAGCTGATTCTTCTGTCTGTCCAACGTTATAAGGCTCCTCTCTGGCTAATGTTCAGTTGTTTGTTCCAGGTGATTTCTCCACAATTTGGTTGAAATTCCAGGTTGGTCCTGGGAGGAGGTCAGTGAGACTTCCACTAACTCCTCCGCCATATTGATGGTTCCTGAAAAATTTTTTTTAAAATTAGAGTTTACATTCAGCATGCTTTTGTATTAGTTTCAGGTATACAGCATAAAGGAACACTTTTGTTTAGCTTTTGTTTTCCTGGCCACAGTTTAGAGGTTAATGCCCTTCCTCAGAGCACGATAGAACTATTATTTTAGAAAGATTAATGGACCAGAAATCTGGAGCTCCATCCACCCAGGGGGCTTTGGACTTGTGCCCCTTGCTGCTCAGGTGTGGGCCCCAGAGCTCATGGTACATAACAAGGTCCTTTTCTCCCACCAGTTCTGAGAGTCCATGTTAACTGAGAAAGGGACAGATATCATTCTAGCTTGAAGGGGTCTCCTCCTGTGTCATAAGACCTTTGAGGACAGAATGTGGAGATTAGACTGAGAGAGTCATAAAAGAAATCAGAAATAAAGGAGGCTGGAATCTCAAAGGCCAATTATGAACTTCGTATCTGGCCATGGACCTCACAAAAGGCCGGCTGGTGCCAGTCCTTTTTTTCCTGCCCCTGTGTCCCCCGAGGCCTGCTCGACACTGCAGACCGTACCCACCCGGAGCAAAGCGATGGCAGAGCTGTGCGGATCGATATGATGAAACTTGATCTGCAGA